TGTAAATGCACAGTGGTAATATAAATTTCACAGTTTTGGTTTATTTTGCCTTGATGGACCCTTTTGTGAAATATATAAACAGAACACAAAAATCTCTTTCTCTCTGTCAGGGCTCTGGCAACAATGGGTTCCCTCCCCATCAGTAACTTGTTCATACCATACCAAGCAGCAGCCTTTGAGGCACCGTCACTCTGCTTTGAATAAAACACGGGTGTATTAGCAGCACCCAGTGATTTCATCTAGTGTTATAAAAATTGCATATTGATACTGTAATTTCTCCTATGACATGTGTGTCACTGGCTGGACGTACATTTAATCGCAGTCTGTTTCTTCCTATCTGATCATTTCCTTTGGTTCTCTCATTTAAATTACTGCCACCATCAGAGGTCTGTTGCAGTAGAGAGGTTAATCTGTTTGCTCATCTGGAAGGGGAGGGAAACGCAGTGCACTCTGCTGCCTTCACAGATTTGGGTACCATATCCAAAACGTGAACCATGTTGTGTTCTGTTGGGGAAATGGGAACAACATCAGTTCTACTCCATAGGAGACCGCTCTCAAGCATCACTATAAAAAGGAAAAAGCTATTGAGAATAAACATTCTGCAGATTAGCTGAGATAAGACCTGCAAGGCAGGAAAACCCTGAAAAGAGACGCAGTTTACCCAATTTAAGTCACAACCATATTTCGCTCTATGAATTAAAGCACTGGGGAGACTATTTCCCATTTTTGACACTGGCTGCTACTTAACTTCCTGTCCATATGTCCATGTTCGATTTCCTAACAGAACGTTTCATCCAATTTAGAGCATACCCTAGACAACATTTTCAAAACAGCCGTTGTCAATGCTATCCTCCCCCATAAGCCATCAGTACTCTTGATCCTCCAATAGAAAGTACTTCCTAGAAGGCAAAATATAAGTTTGTCACGCTCCTTTACTTTAGCGAGGCAACAATTTAACTCTAGTCCCTACTGCTGCAGGAAACAGAGATGTAAGGTGGCATGGACCCCTTCTGTCCTTCCGTCTATTTCTCAAGTTTAGTCAGTGATATAGTGGAAAGATCAAAGGCTGCTCTATGGCGTGTTTGCTGAGGGCAGAGAGGAGAGGTGAAGCCAAGCTTGCAGTGGCAATGCACTGGCACGTGGGAATAAAAATTCGTATTTTCTTCTTCCTGCCTTTTTCTATTTCACCACTGTAGCCTCCATTAACACATGGGCAGCAAGGACAGTTTAAACCTCTTTCACTCTAATTTGAACAAGAGGGAGGGAAAATAAAGATGCATTCGATTGCAAATAGGGGAAGAAATGATTTTTGACTCTGCTAACCACACAGGCATGAAAGGTGACTATGATGAAAATTGCTTTGAATTTTAATTTGGAGCAGCTGCAAGGCAGTTATTTAAATGTATTCGTTTACTTCTAGTATTTGGCTAGTAAAACCTACTGCTGGTAAAAGCAAAGAGAGAGACAATGATGTATTTTTGTTGTTTTCTTTCTTTTAAACATTTTTGCAGCACCCTTGGAAGCCCTAGTTCATTAAGCAAGTAGCGCTCAAAACAACATTTCTTCAGAGCTTTTACAGCAGAATTCATCTCACGCTGTTCACAAAGTAGCAGGGAAGATATTAATCACTCTATAAAGTAAATTACTTTTGAATATCACTTGTTCTGTTTCCTCTTTGCAAGCAATAAGCCCTTCTGGGAATGCTAAACACTTCCAACAGAACTCTTTAACTTTCCACTCACCGCATTATCAGACTAATCAGGTTTCTATGATAAATTTTTGCGTACACACAGGAGAAGTAGGAAGCATTATATCTACCAACTTAATGACTTAAGAAGTTTTGTTACCTTGTTGATTCTCTCCCTTTAGGATCAGAATGCCGTATCTAAATTGAAATCACTAGATTCAGCCTTAAAACAGAACGCCATTGTCCAAAAGTCAAACCATATTCTGGAAAGGTTTCTTTTAATTGATTTTGATGTGTTGCGAACGGTCTTTCAAAACCATTTTCCATACCAGTTTTCAGCTATGGAAAGCCGCTACCCTGGAACTGTATTTATCCTTCACGTTTAAAGGTGGCAAATACCCCTTAAATTCATGCTCTTAATCACCATTCCTTATCTCTGGTAACATGAAACTAGAGGGGGAAAGAAGGCTGGAGCAGAAAGTTTCAGAGAGGCCAGCAAGTAGGGAGGATACGAAGAGACTCTGCTATGGAAACGTGTTGCTTTTGTAGCAGGCCATACAAAAGCACCAAAACCCGTTCGCGAGTTGACCTAGCAATAAGAACTTTCTAAAAATAGAAATAATAATTTCACACCTGGTATCAAGAAGCAAATTTCAAAAAATTATTTGAATTTCCAAAACGTAAGTCTTTTGTTACCTGGCTCAGAAAACAAACCTCAGCTACTATTTACAATTAAATTAGCAGGAACTCTCCTCATCACGGTGAGGAAAGCCCTTATGGGATTCAAAGCTAAATATTTATAGGAGTATAGTATTTATAAGATTCATTTATAGGATTCAAAGCTAAGTAAAAATCTATCAGAGCAGACTTCTGATCACACAAAGTCCTGCTGAGGTCTCCAGGATTCTCACCAGCAATAAATAACAGTCTCTGCTTGTTTGTCTCTGTGCAGTTAAAGGACTGATGATAGAAGAATGTTTATTACTGTGATGTACATATAAATATATATTCATAAATATATGTACATACATATGTAAAAATAAGCTAATTTTATTTCTAAGACTAAATTCACTAAGTGTGAAGGAAGTATAGTTTAAAGAAAAGCAGCAAAGAACTTTTTTGTAAATGAGATGCCATCTAGCTCATGCAGAAGGCATGCAAGGTTTCTTCCAAGTTAAAAAAAATTCCTTCTTAAAACATTAGTTTCTAAATGTCTTCTGCAGCACACGGTGATATCTGTTCAGTTTTAAAGGGCAAGATAATGTGCTCTGGAAAAAGCTAAATTTTAATGATTACAGCTTTCAAAACTATACTCAAAAGTCCTTTTGACATGAACACAAATGTAAAAGGCAAACCCATGCACTCCCTGTCTGAAAACTGCTTTGCTTCAGTAAATCTAAAGATTCAGCTCTTTAGCTATGTCATTGCTTCACTATATCCTTGCCTGTTAAAAAGCCCTTCCTTACTCTCACATAACATACACATAGCTCCAGGCTGATTGTTTGGAGCCTCCTTTACAGAGGATTAAGGCCTTATATCAACCATCAGATCCATGATGGTTTCCTGAAATCGACTGGAATTCATTCATGCACATTAGGCTGCCTATGCGGATATCATCTGTCAAATCAGAGCCTGTTTTTACAACATGAGGTACACAGAACGATATTTTGCAACCTTAATCTCACACTGGGATATTACTCTTGCATTTTTTTTCCCTGTTGCCATTTCTTTTCTACTCCAAAGTCAAATCTCATTCAAGCACAGCCTTTACAATCCAAGTTTGCTGCGAGAACTAGCTGAAAGATGTCAATGACTGAAATCATCTACTTGTTTCTAGTCTTTGGTCTAGTTATGCAAGTCCAGTGCAGTATTTATTCAGTAGAAACTTCCTGCAAACACAGGGGGCATAGATTTATTTACTCATAAATACAATAAAAAGGGGGCCACGCTGATTTGAAGACCATTTTAAAATCAAATCCTTTACAAGGCACAGGTTTTCTCTCACTTGTATTTGCATCAGAATTTAATTAATTTTCCCTTCAAGAGACTGCTTACTCGGAACAGCAGTCTTGAAAGAGATTCGCAAATTTTGTACACATAAAGAAAGCTTTGAACAGAGAACCCAGGGAGATAGGTGGTGCAAGAGTGCTTTCAGAGCAGACGAGGAGATGGCCTGGAGGAGCATTACTCCAGGAAGGAGAGAGGAGTCCAGCAACAGCAACACACATCAGGGGACGCGTGCACGGAGGGTCAGCTTCCTATCTGCAGTTCTGTTCTGCTACAAAGACACAAAATACTTCTCTGACCCTAACAAAGACTGACACCTGAAAAACAACAATAATAGGTTTAAAATATCCTAGTTATCCATTTCCAACACAGGAGGAAAAGAAGCTGAAAGAAGTTGTGTGAACTGACTTCCAATCCAACTCATTTCACAGCACTTCCACCCACTACGGGTGGGGCCTTACGGCCTGGGGATCTTGCTGTTTTCTGTGAAATGCTGCATTTTTCATTGCTTATTAGTAAAAGCTGTAGCTCTCCAGAGCCAAAAGAGCTTCACCAAACAAAAATGCAAAATAAACATTAGATCTCCAATTTTCTGTCAGTATCATCTTAATTAACTGCAATGCCCTCTTCAGGAAAGTATATGTCCTTAAAATAAGTTTTACAAACACTTAAGTCTTAATGAAGTCAAAGAGACTTTGAAAATGCTTTTCCGAGATGAAGACTGAGATGTTGTTAACATCTATTGTTTTGTGATGCTTACTGCATCAGAAAACAAAAGTACTTAGTGCTCTGTACATGGAGCTGAAGAAATCACTCAGGTATTTGTAAGCACCAAGTCTGAAACAGACATTGTGATTCATGAAGGAGGATTAGTGTGTTAGTAATCGTGAGTGTACTATTAATTTTATTGCCACTTTTGGCTTAAAACCTTAGCTGTCTCGGTAGGAACACTGAACCTGAAATTTTCTATGATAGTCTTCCAACCGAACATGACTTTCTTCTACTTTGCGTACGCTGTTCTCAGTAAAATCAAACCATACTACAGGGGCCACCTACAGTAAAGATGGTAATATGCCACGTATTTCCTTTTGTTCAAATACGAGTGGCTATATAACGCAGCAATATCATATCTCAAAGCGTAACAACATTTCTCGGTGAATGATAAGCATCTCTAATGCAATGTTTCAGGAAAAAAATCCCCTGATGACTCAAAAGTGATGGTGGAGAAAAGCCAAGGTTCAATGGGAAAAGAAAAAAAAAGTTCTATCAGCCTGGCTATTATAGAGTTTCGTACTGATCTACTCACCTCAATCATCTCTGGTTGTGACATCATGGAGGATGGCACCAAATCAGTGGGGACGTCCATGGTATCTCAAATTGTCCCAGCTATCAGTGACACCCCTCCTCTGCACCTGCGAAGCCTTGATAGGAGTAAGGAGATACTTGTTCAGATCCTAGTCATGCTGGCATTTGTTCCTAGTAGGAAAGGAAAAAAGTTGTTGAGAATAACAAGAGAACTGTGTATGCAGTCAACACTCAAGCCCCCCAGCTGCCCCAAAACTAGCCTCTGAGTCTGCACAACTCAATTTGCTTACATGACCATCCACAACAGACTTGCAGGAGGAGTTTCAAAGGGCACCTCTGAGCTTGGTCCAGAGCAACAAAAAAATTCACCCAGTCACACAGGCTAGAATTCATACAGACAGAATACAGCCAAATAGCTAACACACAAATTCACAAGGAAAGAGAGTCACTTACAGAGAGCTAGAACCGTGTTCATATTTTTGTCCACAAAAGTATTTTTTCCACTCCACAGAGAAGTACTCATAAAACTACTTGTTGGAAGTTAGGATAAATTTATTTTTTCACCAGCTATTATTATTTTGCCAGATATATACTGTAGGTGACTATATTGAGTCGCTCAAAACAAGGAAGTCTTTTCCATGTGCATGATGCTTGTCAAGGTCAGATTAGCTTCAGCATATATTTCTGTTATGTGCAAAGAAAACTAAACAGACAAAAACAATATTAATGCCTGAAAATGAACCCTGCTTAAAAATTCCAGGCGAAGGCTACTGCACTTATTAATTTCCTTCACCAAACAGCAGGACAGACATATACAGTACAACCCACGTATTGGTGACCACAGAAAAGATTTTGAAGAGAGACCTACTGCTCACTCTATCTGCTCACTTCCTATTCTGTAAGTCACTGCGGAAAGTCACCGACATTAAAGTGTACTCCACATCTGATAGATACACCAGAAATGACCCCAAACCTAACTAGTAATTTCTCAGACTGAGGCCATGGTATAATCATACAGATAGTGCTAGTAACTTTCCTGGCCTTTGGTTTATTTTTTCCAAAGCCAAAATTTGCTTAGCAAGCCAAGAAAAAACAGATAAGTAACGTAGGAAAGTTGCACTCCACATGCTTTTCTGAGTCAGTTATGTCTATTTCTTTTTTTTAATTTGAACTTAGTCTTTGCATGCTACTGTGGAAATTATTCCCCCTTCTTAAAAAGCATCATCTTAAAATGCCTGCCTCATATCCCAGCATGCCTTACATCACATGTAGCTGACTGTCTCATCTTCCAAGCTCTAGGATCACTTTTTCCATCTTCATATAGCTTTCCAGTGACCCCTATTCTTTCCTACTCATCTCTTGCTAGTAACCTTTCATTTTTTCCATACCTTGCTCCAAATTTCTACTACTACACTCAAGGAGAGGAAAGAAAATGGAGATTTAGCCTTCCTCCAAAAAAAACCCTCACTGAGGACCAAATATCCAAGCCACAGATCCTTCGAGCTTCCTTTTTCCTTTTCTAAACAGAGTTTTGTCTGCTTTCTAAAATTCACTAACTTTTCTACTGTGCGTAAGAGATGTAGAAAACAGATTCATACAGTGTCAGCTTGAAACCTATTTATGTGCTTTCCTGACCTAAGAAAGCTTTGCTATTTGACTAAGACGACTGATTTTCAGTAAAACTCCAACAATGGCCCCAAGAGCCTCAATCAATAGATACTCTCACCTTCTTACCAGCTGCCATAAACACAACTTCAATAGTCTCTCCTAAGACCTTTCTTTCTATTCTTCTCGAAACACTCTTAAGAAGAACAATGTCCCTGCACCCCCTTATAGCACCTCACCCTTAGTTTGTTTCAAACTCATTCTCCTCTCTTACTTCCAAAATGCTGCTGCTCTTGAAAAAGAAGGGAAGGAAAACTTTTCTAGATGAAACAGACACGTCAGGAAGGGCTTTCTAGACTGAATACAGAGGAACTCTCAGAATCCTATTTGCCAGATGAAAATGATCGTTTTCCATCCTTTTTATAGTAGGGAGCATCACAGAGCAGAAGAGAGAAAATGCATTTAAAAAAAAAAATATCTTGAGTGTGTTCAGCCTTTAGCCTAGTTCTGTGCACTCCAGTTAGGGTAGAGACAGACAAAAAGCTGAACCCATAAAATGCAATCAGCAGTCTAACACAGAAGAGAGAAGAAATATCTCTGTAGTCACTTTTTGCCATCTCTCCAAGAAATAGAAAACACAGGATTAGTAAAAAAAGATTCCTAGGCATACAACCATTACACATTTACCTTTATGCACCTACCTCTATTTTCACTGCTTATAGTAATACACTGACCACTCATTTTAGCCAGGAAAAGAAAGACTCTTTTGAATTTACCTCGCGTGGCAAAGGGTGCCTCCAACTGGCCCAATTAAAAAAAAAAAAAAAAGACTGCAGCCTACAGTAGTCAAAAAGTAAGCACTCACTTTTGATATTTTCAATGACATTTATGTCATTAGATCACACTAATTGGTGAAGGACACAAATTTCATACAAGGCAGAGAACTTCACAGGAGGAGGGTGGGCCCGTGCAAGGCCATGAAGTAAACTCTGAGCAAAAATGGAAGTTCGGCACAGGGAGGGTCAGCCTGAACCCCGCCAGCTGGCTGGCGTTGTCCGAAGGCGTTTCCTCCAACACAGAGATACTCGGAGCCGGAGCCGGGATGGAAGAGGAACCAAAGTCTCCTGCCCCACCAGCCTCTTGTCAGCTCTGGGACTCTGCAGCGTCAGGCGCAAGAGGGCACGGATGCCTGGCCTGTGGGCAAAGCAACACAAACATCCCATGCAGAAACCGCAAAATCACGGGTGTCCGGGAGCTCATAACAGTGCCCTTCTTGCTCCACCTGCTCCACTCCAGTGCTCTGGTTTCTTTATCAGCTCACTGACTACAGGTTTGGGGACTCATCTGAAAAGGCTGCTGAGAGAGCCCTTCTCACTTAAGCAAAGGACCAGGCCTGGTGACCTAAGCCTCCCATGAGAGAGGGACAATGCAACTGTAACCTAAGGAGAAAAAAGGGACTTTGCTGTCAGGACTTCACTTGTTGAAGACAACAGAAAAACGCAAACCTCGGGATATTTCAAGCTCAAGCTGCAAACTCAAAAACCACTTGGTTGTTACAAGCATCCAAACAGCATATATACAAGCAGACCAGAAGGATTCAATGCAGCTTACTGATGTGTAATGGAGTGTATAAATATACATGACAATCCCCAGTGAAACTTAAGTACAACCACCAGAATTCCCTGTAAAACAGCAGGGAACTGGATATGAAACACAAGGCCGAATCAGATTTTAATGAAAGTTGTTCCACAGAATACTTTTGTCATCTCCCAGATTTGCCTCTTTGGCTCAGTAAAGGAGAAGTGATCTAGCCAGCACTGGCAGAGTTTCATCACACAGCTGAGCTGAAGTAACAAGTCGCCTGCTCAAAAGGCAGAGTTGTCACTCCTCCCGTCTCCTCTCCACCCTGCCCATGTTCCTTCTGCTTACCGTAGCAGACCCGCGGACTACATTTACTGATTTGACTAATGGATTAATGTTCTACCATTTTAATGAGCAAACTGTGCCTATGTTATGGTCAAGTGCCCATCTGAGCCAGAATACACCGGAGGAAGGAAGGAAGGAAGGAAAGTAGGAAGGAAGGAGACTCCCTTCCCTTTAGGCTGTGTTGAGCTAGTAATTCAGCTCACATGTATCCTTCCTAAAGGACCTTGCTGGTCGAATAGCCAAAACTAGTAAGTAAAGCTTCATCAAAGCAGCATACACGCTGAAGTCTTCATTAAAGCAGAGAGATCACAGGTAAGTTGGTCAAAGCTACTACTGTGTGCATTCATAGCGCAAATAATTCTCTGAACAGTGTCGTCCTTCTTCTCTCGCAGTTTAAACCGTAGGAAGAAACCAGGCATTCCCACACCCCAGAAGCCGGCCTCGGCAGTGTACTTCCAGCGAGACTTCTCCCTGGGACCTCAGTGCTTCTGTAAATGCCTCCTCTTCCTTCCCCTGTTAATACTTCTAGCCTGCCGAGCCAAATCCACATTATTTTGAATCACTTCTTGATGTGACAGGTAGCTAACATTTCAGCGTTAAAGCGCCTGGCGCTCAGCCCACCCAAGAAACCAGGGCAGCCCGAAGCCTGTGCTCAGGAGTGCTCAGACAAAAGAGGACAGGTCACGGAGGAAGCGAAGGAGGGGGCTGCTGCTGCTTTTGTACGGTGTCAGAACTACTTGACCTCCTGAGCACAACAGAGGTTATGATGAAGACTTTCTGCCAACAAGTTAGGCTCCTAAAAGCATTCCAGCTGAAAATTAGTTGGACTATACAAAAGAAGCTGCCCACTACTTCTAGCAGTAACAAAAGACAGACTGGACTGTGCTTTCCCAACAGTGCAAAAACAGGCTAACTCCGTTCAAGCAAACAAAGGTAGCCTCTAACTTAATACCCGTGTGAGTTCAAGGTACAGGCCCATGTTTTTCAAGAATAAGAAATAAAAGGAACCAGATCTTCAAATAAAGTTCACTAAAGGGCATTATGACAGCAAACGTAATCTCTATTAAAAAGGAAGTCCGAAACACAGAAGTATAGGAGTGGCTTCTTCCTAAAAAGAGTGTGTTGGCTTTTTGCAGTATGAAGCATTGAGAAAAATGTCAAAAAACTGGAAATACATTCTCCCACATAATTCCCCAAAACTGGGGCTGCAGGCACTGCCCATGAATGTCACTCTACTTATTCTTCTTTTGATAAATGTTACTGTCTGTACTGTAAGCAATCTAGAGAACTATAAATTGGCAAAAGAAGTTAGATCTGTATTTAAAACTAGTAAAGTGAAGATTACAGAATTTCTTCTTCTCTGTGAAGGTGACTCATCTTTAACAAATGATGTTTCACCATAAAACAAAATATTCAGAAAGTCATTACTGTAACAGCAATACAACATTGGGTTGTTTTTCAGTTGAGAAAAATCGGCTGACACTTGACACAGCATGCATAGCTAACATACAGGACACGCGTGCATTTGTACCAAATAAAACAGACTGCTCATCAAATATGTTATGATTAAGCACCATAATTTCTGGATCAGCTGTCTCAAACCACAGAAAAGAGGAACAAAGTTGTTTTGTCATTACTTT